GGGGGCGCATAGTGAAGTCATATATATTCTGGTTGCATTAAAATTACTTCCATTGAAAGAGATTGATTGTATTTCAAATTAGTTCATTAGAATGGTGGCAGGGTAAGGAACAGACAACAAATTGGTACAGCAGTTTTAGAGAGAACAGAGGGGAAAGTGTAAAAAGGTTGATGTGGACACAGATGAGGAGGGGGGTGAAAATGAGCTAGAAAGAAACGTAAATTACTTACATGACATAATGAAAAGAAAAACAGGGAAAGGAAAAAAATATGGAAGAAGGCTACTCACTGGGATAGTTCACTTTGAAGATATGCATTTACTTTTACTGCTCAGACAGCCAAACGACCTCGGTCCCCCCATCCCTACTTTAGCATGGGAAATGTTAGATTTGGAAACTCCTCCATCATTTACAAAAACTGTGTTGGCCATAGTCTTTTAGGCTTTTAAGTCCACCAAACCAATATATAAACCAATATATATATATATATATATATACCTATATATACCAGGGCATTGACATACTATGTTCTTTATTCCCAATCCCTTAGTTAAATTCTACTTCTCTGTCAAGGTATTTCATGAAGCACTCCCAGTGGGGACAGCTGATTCTGGTCCCAGTCTCCCTCCATCAGTTGAGGTAAAATGACACCACTTAGTGACTCTTGCCTCTTTAGTCATAGGCTTGTCTAACTAAGCCTACTAAAGCCCAGTATACATACACCTCCTTACCTTCCTTCCTTTTTACCTTTGGTTCTTCCTAGAGCACTTACCAATCTTGCTTCTTTGCTTGTGCTCCAATTGGTCAAATGATGAGGTTTATATAGCTCTTTTGAGCCTTTCAAGAACAACTCACACCAACATGGGCAGTATCTGTTTTTACTGTTTTGATGGATTTGTCCTGTGCCTGACAAAATTTCAGTCGGTCTGATCCAAGACATACTCTAGGATTAGAGCAGAAGTAAGGACAAAAAGAAAAAAGCTGACATTTCTTTTTCTCAGATTGGGCGTATTTTTATTTTCCAAGATCTCCCTCAACTTTTGACCATTTTTATATGGGATTATGGACATTTTATCTTTGTCAGTTCCTCCTGTCTGCTTGTTAGGCTAGTTTATGGAGGAATCTCATTCATGTTTTGTGCCAAATTTGACAAAAGCAGTTAAATTTGATTTCACCAGTTGTTATACTCATTGGTACCTCTAATGATGTTTTAAAAAATCACACTAGAAACTGTTTGGTAGAGCTGTTAACAAAACATGAGGCTTTGTTGGAAGTTTAATGGGTCCATCTGAGAACCCTAATATTCTAACTAACTGTAATTACCAGGCGGCTCACACTCCAAGAACAGCCTTTTGCCTTGAGCATATTGATAAAAAGTCTTATAATTATATCAAGATTTCAATTATTTATCATTTCTATGACCCCATTGCAGTAGAAAAATCAAGAACACATGGCATGTTTTTTAAAAAAAATTTTAATTTTGCTTAATACTATAAACAGGGAAATTTGATAAATATTTCTTTCTGATCTTGAAGGGATCCTTCATAAACATAACACTAGAGAGTACTTTATTCTCATCCTCTTTCTCTTGCCTTTTTCCTTCCTTCACTTGTACTTTCCCATCAATTAGGTTAGTATTTTGAATTAGATGGTCAAGAGAGTAAAATTTCATTTGAATTTGTAGTATTTTTCATTCTATGTGGCATGTGGATGTGAAATAGGAAATGTGATAAAGATCCATGAAATTCTGTGAACACGTATCGATGAAAACAAATTCTAATAGCTACATCAAATGTGTTGGTGGACTTTAAACTGGCATAGAGGATAAGCAAATAGCTAAAGCTAAATAAAATGAGTCTGCAATCTATGTGCCCTTTTACATTTTGGTTATGAAGATACTTATAACTACAAAATTCTTGTTTTAAAACTAACTTCATTTGTAAAATCAAAGGAGATTATGACTCACATAGTGGGACTATAACACGAAGCAGAACAAACACATTTTTGCCAATGTGACTGAATAATCTCTGACTTAATCTTTTATTTAATCTTAGGTCTGACTCCCAAGAAATGCTTGTTTCTAATATGATTATTGACCATTACTTGGACTGCCTGTGTAATTCACTGTGTACTTTGGACCAAGTCACAGCTTTCTTCTCTCAGGTCTTATTTTTTTCTCTTCTATAAATAAGAGATAGGCTCTGAAATCTATACCTCTTAGATTTAAGGATAAGTATGTATATAAAACTGAAGTGAAGAGATGTCATCCTTAACAAATGGAATACATTGTTCTCTGCTCTGGTGGACTACACACTAACGATGGAGATTACTGAGGTCACATGTATCCACATCCCTAGATCAGGAGTGTGACACATACACAATGGCAATGGTAACTTAAATCAGCCAGATGCTATTAAACAGCTTAATCTTCTGTGTTTGGAAGATGTGTATAGAATTTTCACCAGAAAGTTTTTATAGCAAACTTTTTATGTCAGAAGTTTATTTTATTGGTAAAATATTAAATAATATACAGAATTAAAAACTGCACTTACACTTCTGAGAAGAAATAAATCTTGGACAAATTATATGCTTGTTCCTGAGATTCCCTAAATTTATTCCAGTAGCTGTGCACTCAGACAGTATAAACCTTTATAATATAATCCTTTTCACAAAGTATTACAAAGTTTCTGCAGCTTTTTAGTTGTACACACATACAGACACACATTCACACATGCATATACAACACTCGTACACATATACACAGTACCCACATACATGCACAGAACATGTATGTGTGTGCATTAAAAACAAAGAAAATACAAGTCCCATCTTTTAGTCTGCAGTGATAAAACTGTTTATCGGAGGTTTCCAAATTGGTATATAGCAGAGTGACTTGTCACACAGCTGCAAAGACTGTTTTCAATATTTCCATAGTAAACCTCATTTTCTGAGGTATGGTATTTGCGCCTTAAAAAAAATACATTACACTGAGCGAACCTGACATACAAGGTCTGGAATTTCAATTTTACATATATATTTATATATAATTCTTTTTTAAACAATAGTTTTTATTTTCTCAAATTATTAGTTTGAAAAAAATGAGGTTTACTGGTTTGACCTATTTTTACTTTTTTTGCTTCTAAAACTCAAAATATCCTAGAAACTGTCAAGCAATTAGTTTTTAAAGTAGTCTAATTACCTTTGGTATTGTTAAAGAAAAAAATCTAAAATGGCCAAGACACGTACTGTACAAATGCAGTAACTGCCTTTAAAAGAATTGCCAAAGAAATGTTATCTTTTAACAAAATATGTATTTACATTACAGCAGTTTTACTACAGGGACACAGATATAAAAAAGAAAACCAACATACTACATATAAATATGTATGATACGAAAAATACTTCTTACTTAAATTTGTATGAAAACAGAAGTGCTCCAAATATTTCTTAAAAATTTTCTTCAATAAGTCATAGGTGTTTAAAATTGAGCTAAGTGCTTTGCTTTATTTTAAAGTTCATTTTCAAAAAGGGAAAAATTGAAATTAAAAAAGTAGGTTCTTAATTTAAAACATTGGGCAAGGGTCTAAGAA